CGCGCCCTGCCCTGCGCGCTGCCGCTGCGGACGCGCCGAACCCGGAAGCGCGGCCCCGCGCGCGGCTCGCCCCCAGCTTTGACCATATATAGTCAAGCGCTCAGCTCGGCGGCCGCGGCCCCGGCGAGACTGCGCGGACCTGGCCGTCCCCTCCCCCCGCCCTGGCCCCGCCCTGCGGCCCTCCCCGGAAGTGACGTAAGCACACGGCCCCGTGAAAAGGCGGCGCGGCACGCGCTCGCCGTTAGAACAGTCCTGGGGGAGGGTAGGTGGGGTCTCCTCGCGTTCTAGGGGCACGGGGAAAGGAAGTGTGGGTTTCGTGGGGTTGCTTCCTCTGCAGAGGATTCGAGGTGCTGACGGCACAGGCGAGCGTGGGTGGGGGCCTGGGGGAGCCCTTTTCGTGCCTGTGTTTGCGGGGCGGTCGTTCCCGAGCCGCCAGCCTTCCGGCCGAGTCGGCGCCCGCTGTTTGCAGAAGCTGTGCGGCGCCGGCTCGGGTCCTGCGAACACAGGGGGGCTTTTTCTTTTTTTTAAAGCATGAGTAAATGGGAGTTGCCCTTCCTCGAAAACAACTGCTGGCAGCAGGAGCTTTAGGGATGTGCTTTGCTCGGCCGAGCTCTCTCTCTCTCTAGAACTTCCTTTTAGAAAGCTAAGGAGCCAGTGAGCGAAGGGGATCTAAGTTCTAAGAAAGCCCAAGGTTTATTTCCTAATTAAGAAAACAAAAAAGGGAACTTCCACTTGTAAGATGGGGGCAGCGGCTCGTTGAAAGGGGAAAGGCAGGAGCTCTGAGGGCGGTTACTTTGAGCCCCATCTTTCCGTGGGGGGTGGGGGTGGGGAATACTGTCTTTCCTCAGAGTTAGGGGGAAGGAGAGTCAAGAAGAACGCTGTGTAAAGCATCCGCGGGTACTTCAACTTTCAGAAACCCAAGCTAGAGAACTTTGCAGTGATTCTTGACTTTATTTTTCTTTCTAATCTGCTGGGAAATCCTGTTAGCTCTATTTTCAAAACGTAGCCGGGTTAATCACTTCTTGCCTCTTGGGTATTACTCCTGCAGAGCCAAGCCCTGAAGGTATTGCAGGTGTTTCCTATCTGGCCTCTTGGTTTATGCTCCTGCTCTTCCCCATCTTCATCTCAATCTGGTCTCTAGATTGCAGGCTGAGTGTTCCTTTCAAACTGTAAATCAAATTTAGCTATTCCTTAGCTTAGAACCTGTAGGAGCTGAGTCTCAAAGTAAAAGCTCAAGTCCTGAAAATGGCTGCCTACGCTCTAGGACATAGGTCTCGGGGTTACTTGAGGCTCCATTTACTACCCTCTGCTCTCAGCTGTATCCTCTCCCTTGCTTTCTTCAGCACACTGGCCTCTTTGATGCTCTGGGAATGCCCCAGGCGTGCTCCTGTCCCCAGGGCCTCTGTGACATCTGTTCTCTACCTGGAATTCTTACCTCCTGCAAAAGTTCTTCGTTGCATAAGTGTCACTTTAAGGAATGTCAACTACCCTGACCCTTTATTTTAAACTGCAGCTTTCCAGCCCTTGCAAACACATTCCTGATATCCCTTCCCTAGGACTTTTTTCTCCAGTATATCTCTTGCACATGGTAGATGGTCACATGGATGAGCCTGCACCCCACATGTAATCCCTGATCGAGAAACAATGGAAGTAAAGGTGGTTTTGTGAACTGAAGGGCCCTAGATATGTCTTTGTACAAAATGGTGAGATTCCTCAAGTAGGAACAAAAAACAATTGGTTTACAAATGAGGGAGGGCTGTAACTTTCTGCGGAGAACCCAGGATTTAATTAGCGCAACTTAATGAGACCGGTTAAGAGCAGATGTGAACAACTTAAGTTCACCCCTAGGACACTTAGGTAATGGAAGGGCTGTTGCATGGAAGTAAAACAAAGGCACCAATCTCAAGCTTTTGCAGACTGGTAACCTTTATGTGGGTGCTTAAAGCCTTGGGGGACTTACTGCTGCTAAAAATGAGACTGTAAAGCGAACTTGGATAAAACGTTCCCAAACCCCTGGAAGGATGCTAGGCTCTGTGGCTTATTTTTAGCATAAGAGCAAGTTATATGTAGGTCTGGAGGTTTGAGAAGTTTGGGTGGGAGTGGGGATGCTGTTTACCATAAAAATCATAGGTATGTCTAAAGAGAATGTGAGTCGGCAGGCAGTTGCTGGGGTTGGAAGAAAGGAAAAGGAGGGACCCTGGGATGTTATTCGCCTGGGTGGCCTCAGTTTGCTTGTCTCAGCTCAGTAACATCTAAGTGGTGTCATCTGTGGCTAGCTGTGGTTCTTTACCCCGGGCTCTCCTACTCCTCACCCACACCTTTGTTAATACACCCTCTAACTGTGCCATTGATCTCCAGTGGGAACCCTGAAACATCTGTGCCCCAGCCACTCGCTGCTCTACGTGTCAGCTCAGGCACTTCTCTGACCACCTCACCTCTAACCAACTGCCTCATTGTCTCAGTGGGAATGTCCTAAAGGCACCTCCTTGGACCAAACCAAAGCCCAAAGGAACCCAAACAGCTTGTCTTCCCCTCCCCTCCCCTGCACAAAGACTGCTCCTCTGGAATGTCCCTTCCTGCGGTGACCAGTGACCCTATCTCCAGCTATACTGGCCAGAAACCTCACCCACCCCTGTCCTCACCTCCACATTCAATCCTTCACCAAATTTGGTCACTTTGATTGCCTGCATCTCTTGAATGGATCACTCTATCCCAAACACTGCCCTGCTCTCAAGGTAATCTCCTCACCTGGGCTACTTGAACCACCTCCTAACCCGCTTTCCCTGTGTCCACTCAGAGCCCCTCATTGCAACCAGAGTAACTTCAAAACCTTGCTGCCTTCCCCACCTCTTTGCTTCTATCTGAAGATAGAGACCAACAACTTCCCCAGGCCTACAAGGCCCCTGGGACACCCAGATCCTTCCTGGCTCAAGTAGCTCCTTCCCTGGGTCTTGCTGTTCAGGCCACCCGGGACTGCCATCAAGACCACCACCGAGGCCTTTCAGTTCTGCCACTCTGCACCTGCTGTTCCTGGGCCTTCCCTGACGCCCCAGTTCAAGGCCAGTCCATTCAGCTGTGAATTCTCAGACGATGCTTAGGCAATATTTGTTACACATTCATTCTTATGCCTGCTGGATTAAATTGAATTGCCTCCCGCGCCCATTGTAAACAGGAGAACAGGGACCACATGTTTTTTTCTAACACTTAGTGTGGGGCCCAGCAGACAAGCGTGAAGCTGATCTGCATCCTAGAGGGAATGAGCAACAAGAGCCTCACCTGAACTTGCACTGAATTCCAAAGTGTGAATCAGTATCTTTTAAAAAACATGCTCCTTGGGGCAACTCCTTAAACGAATCTTGGAGGAAAACTCCTGGGCTGGCTTTGGGTAGACTGATTGCAATTACTTGGGTAACTCAGACGAAACCCTTAGAGTGGCTTTAGGTGTGTGAACGTGGCCTTACTGCTTCCCCTCACAGGAGGGAAATAGATTTCAGGTCTGTTCTGCCAAATGCTTTGTTGTAGTGAAGGTGAGGGCTCGGGATGCGTGGCTCTGCGGGAGTCCGCCTTGTCCCGAGCATGCTTAGCCTCAGAGCCCTTGTTTTCTCTGCCATAAACTGGGCATATGCAGGAGATAGATGAGGCTCCTACTCTGGGGAGGAACAGAGAAAGGAGCAATCGGACAGGAATTCGGAACTTCTCTCCAAGGCCTGTAAACCTGCTTGCTCACCTGCAACCATCATGTTCTCATGTCCAGGCTCAGAGGAAAGGGATCTTCTTACTGTTCAAGTGTATTGGGTCCCTGCAAAGGGCTCTGTGCCAGGTGCTGCTGGAATGAGCAACAGGGAGCAAAGTGGGCACTGCTCCTCCCTCCAGGAACTCACAGCTGCACTAGTGTACCTCCTGGAAGGGACGTGTGCAGTGGGGGAACCTCCCCTGTCACTGGCCCTGCCCCCTCTGGGAATCTTAGTCTCTTTCCTGGGTCCGTCCTTGTAGCTTGTAAACAAGCTCTGGTAAGCTTACACTCAAGGAATATCTCTCAAGTGTCCCTGGATTAGATAACCTCTCCATCTACACTGTATTAAGCCAGCCTTACTGCCATCACCTCCAGTCTGCACCATGAGCAGCAGACCCCCATTCCAAACTCGCAAAATGTATCCCAGGTTGGATCAAGGATCCATCCGTAGTCCAATTAGCTATGACGAGGGGTGGTGGTGAAGTCTCCTAGAGCAAAACTAGCTATGAGGTAGCTACCTTGTGGTCCTGGAAATTGGGAGGTGGCCCCTTGGCCTGTTGTCCTAGAAGGGAGAACTAGTGAGGGCTGGGCCATCACCCCAAAAGCTCTCTACTGCTTCTGTCGTCCGTGCCTTTGTCAAACAGGATTGATAACACAAAACCCTGACCCGCCTAGTTAAATCTATACGATAGTGTTAACTTCTGGTGTGTAAAC